CAGGAAGGGCTTTTCAGCAGTAATTCTAATAGGCTCCTCATCTACTCCTATAATACCACTATCAATGGGTGGGGCCCAACCCAACATACAGCCTTCATCGAGAAGTGCGTTCTTACCAGACAAATACAACCCACAGACGCCCATCTCTTTCAGTGCATGTAGCACGATCAAAGGACAAAACCGCACGCACCCACAACAAGATGCACTGGGAGGAAACCAGTAGTGGCAGCAGAAGTGCACCAAGCAGCAAAGTCATCGGCTGCGCTTTTCGTGGCCATACTAGTAGCGTAGAGGTAATAATCATGAACTTGGGGCAGTGCAAAGTAGCAAGCAAATCAAGCAATGGCAACATGTTCAACAAGGATGGTGGAAGCAATGAATCACAACTGTATATGACCTGTTCTCAAAACGTTGGACCTCATTGGGTGCCTATGGTGAGTTCCTAGTGACATGAAAAAACTGTCCGAAGGAACCGATGAGCCATCAATATAGTCCCTACTAAGGACCTCCGTAATCCCTTGAGATCCCTAAATGGTAGTTCCCTAAATAGGGGGGACCCCAATATAGACTCCAAAAGCCTATAATTCTTATCATAGGACCCGCTTAAAAAGGTACCCATAACTATGGGAAGCCCCTATATCCCCAAGTTGCCTGCCGGCCGTAGTCTTGGGAGCTTTGCGAGCTACGCAAAGGCCTGGCCTGGCTAGGAATGGGAAAGAAACTGGAAGACACTTCAAGGTTATGGTATAATATACGGTATTGTAATACCATATTATTGCAAAGAGAGCCTTGTCTTTAGCGAACGAATCATTCAATCCTCGAGGAAGGAGTGACCGCCCCAAGAACGACACAAACGAATTTCAGACTTCCGCTATAGGGTGCATGATAAAGTTGGCAATCCTAGCATCCAGTTTCTTGACACAAGTCGTCTTGACGAGTCATCCACTGCACATGATGCAGTGCCTGTGGGTGTTGGGCCGAGTCGGCCTGCGGGCAAATTTGGCCGGCTCCCACAAACGTGCAGCAGGGAGCAGACTTCAATCCGCTGCACGATCATGCATGAAAAGTACACAGCATGCGTCGCCTGAATTGCGCTGACTCGTGCCGCGTCCACGTCACGCTTCAAGGCCTGCATTTTCAGACAAGGTTGAGGAGATCATGGTCATCGAGGCTGCGACAGCCTGCAGCTGTGGCAGGTGCTGCACAAAGAGGGATTCAAGGAGCTCCCAGTTCTGCCCACCATCGCCTGTCAGTCTTGATGCTGAGCTTGAAAAACATAGGAGCTCCAAACATGACACGATAGCCTAGCTTCCAACAAAGAAACCAAAACAGCTACACTCCCAAAGGCATGGGCCAAAGCGCCTGAGGCCTCCAGGTCGCAACCTTTCTGGCGCAAGAGTAGCCTCAACACAAATCAAGCTGACCAGTGCCATCAGTGTTCCTATAATTCTTTCTGTCGATATCGTAAAATTACTGTCAGAACACGCTTTCAGCCTCTATAACACTGCCAGGATACGTTCTGCCTGCCAAGTTCCATTCGCCTTGCGCCTGTCAGGCTATGGCGTCTAGCACACCACTCAAATTGGAAATTGTTCCGCACCACAGCGGGCCTTACCATGCTGACTCACGGGCAAGCCCTGCAACCTGAGCATCAAACCAAAGAGTGCAGGCTCTTTACAAAGCCAGCCGTGCAAGTTGCATTGTGTGTGTCCGTGTGTGACTGGGATTCCGGTCTCGTAGCGGCGGAGCAATGAGCCCAGGGCCAGGACCACTGCGCCTGGCCGCAAACGCCACTGCATCAGAAAGCCACAGCATAGCACCACGCAACACGCCCTACCAACTGCAAGACAAACTATCACAATGATCGGAATACCAAGCATCACTCTTCGTACAAGAAAGAATAACATCACCAGGATCACTAAGCTGGCATTTGCGTTGAAGATGTTGTTCACAATCCCGGAACATGCAGAATGCAAGTTGGCAGAGAGCAAAAACAAGAAGGATCCAAAAGAAGCATTGTTGGAGAGCGACAACTGAGCGGGACATCACATCCGACGAGCCGGCCTGGATCTGCAATCGTCGGTGAACTTTGCACCTCTTCGACCAACTCCGGCCTCAGTCTCAGTTTCCATAGATTCCAGTCTGGCAGGGTGATTACAAAGCCTAGTAGAGATATGTTCTTCGCCTCAGGCAGCTGGGTTGCGGGCTCTCTTCCCGTAGGCAGCACCTCCTCAGGCTAGAGGACGTGACCAGGCAATGAAGCGACAGTGGCGGCAAATATTTCCATTCGCTGAGTATCCTGCAGATGGACCTGGGTCTGCTGCGGGCACAACAGAGCCTGCCATCAATCTAAGGATATACAGGATTATATAGGGCCTGTATAGGGGCTATGTAAGCGTCGTAAGATATGTAGGGTCTATAATATAATGGAGAATCATATGGAAAAGAAAATTGAAAATGAAATTGGAAACTTGGTTTCTTCCAAATGAATAGACGCAGGGCTAATGTAGGAAACAAAGGAAACAATGGAAATGAAAAGAGAACTACTGACGATAGACTGTGTCATTGCAACAACTGAGCCTGACCTCAATCTGACCCAAGTCATCATAGTCGGCACTGACTTTGCTTCATGGCGTGCGGACCATGTGACGGATGGTAAACCCTAAACGCTAGACCCTACGTAAATAGTTCCCTTCACCACCAGGCTCCGCCCACCCTCTCCCCGAATAAAACTTCCCAAAATTAGGGGTACTTGATTGGGGGTCTGTCCCTATAATGAGGATTATGGTAGCTTAGGGTCAGGGAAACTACCAAATCAACGGCGGACATTCTAGGTACCTTGATAATCTGGAACGGGTGTGCTCATCGAGGGCAGAGTGGGTTGGCCTGCGACAAAACAAGTGCACATACAGGCACTGTCCGTTGCTGCCCTGGCCTTCTTGTGCTCTCGGGCTGTCGCTACTCAAAGGCTGATCTTGAGTCCTGGCACTTGCTACCCATCGGAGGGCTAGGATTTGACAAATGCAAAACACAGAGATGGCCACTTCAGCAAATATGCGTGGTGGCTCCTCGAAAGCTGAGGCGAGGGCACGGAAGTTTTTGACGCCTTTCGCACAACCGGAC